TGAGAGCTGCTCGAGTCATGGTTCTCGAACCCGTAGTCCATTAACAAACGCGGTGCCTCCCCCCCGTTCCCATATTCTGTGCTAAGGCGGGGATATCAACCAGCTGGGGAGGGCGCAGGCAACCAACGAGCCAAATTGCCGCGTAATTATTGTTCCAGCATCCAACACGGAGGATGAAAATCGCGGTATTCAACGACTTGAATGTGGCCTGCAAAGTCATCATTGCATGAAGTAGGACTCCGAGCAGTGATAGCAAATTGTGTGGTCGCATGATCACTATAAACCATAAATACTGCGCACCCTTTCCCTCTAGCACTCTTAGCTGCGATTGTTTCTGATGATGGGTTCGAACAAGAACCCGAAACTTCAGGCCAATGAACGTCTTTTTCCACTGATCGCATCTTCTACTTCTGAACTGCTTTTGGGAACTCGTCTGTTCGCTTATAGCGGTGCATGGATACGTATACATCCTTGAGCAGAGTGTTTTTTTTTGGTGCTTTAAAATGGGCATACAGCGAAAATTTAAAAAAACCTTCTGTTTATTTATTGAGGAAGATCATATCTTCTGCCGTGAAAGGCCCTCATTCTCATAATTCCCGTGTTACAAGTAGATTTGCCGCATGGTTCAGGGCTGAGGAGTAAATACATGCACGTTGGACCCTTAAGTGGTCTACAACCTTCTCGTCTGGAATCAACGCTCTAGTGCTTGGCTGATAACAACAAAGAGGCCAGAAATAGTTACTTTAGTCGCCTTAGTCTCTAATAGGAACATTGACCGATTGCTAGTTTTCTGACACCCCGAGGAGACTATAGATGGGAAATCCAAGGAGGAATGTACTTCCGAAACAGAATATCCGCTTGCTGGTTGGCATTTTCGTGTGAAAGAACTGTCTTGGGGTGCGCTATACGGCAAGAGGGCTTCGCTTAGTGGAAATTACGTGGCAAAAACCATTCTCATCGCTTGTTGTAGAGAGAACGTATCGTCCGCCTAACAAAGAACTCATAAGGTCTTACTGAAAAACCTGATATCTTTTCGAGGCCTTTATCTTCTGAAGTATCTGCTGATTTTAGGACAGAACCGGAACCTTTCAGTTAATTACTCGTCTGTCTAACGGACGCTGCAGTGCATCGAATTTCATACGCAATCCTCGTAATGGCATCCATTGGGTTTCGAAGGAGATGGAAAGTAACTGTGATGTCGCCAAAGTTGTTCGCACTACAATTCACTTCACTGACAAAGCCCTACAGTCCACCTAGACGGCAGTGGTCCCCATCGATTTAGGTGGAGGAACTGCCACAGTGCCAACTTTGAGTAATCCAAACATTTAGTGTTAACAGGTAAATGCTAAAAGTTAATTAGCGTTGAAAGCTGCAATGTTCCATTTAATAAAGCATCCGTTGGGAAGGTAATTGTAATACATCCTAACTCAGCTGTTACTACGAAACTTTGGAATTTTATTTAAAAATACTATTCTTAACTAGTGCTTAAAGTAAAATTAAGTTTCAGTAAATAATTTAGTCGAGGTTTTCACAGATCACACATTCACAGCAGACCCATCTAGTCGCAACATCACAGAACCTGTTTCAAACATTATGATCTCGAAAATCTGGTTCATAAGGAAACCAAGAAGGGAAATGAAGGGGGTCCGTGATTCATTCCCAGAAACTTATTATAGTCTTCTGGCAGGCCACAGTCAAGGACCGATCTTATACCATTTTGACCAAAATTTTAGAATACGTTTTATATTGACAATGCTTTACATTGAATCCACTTAGTCGTTCACTGTACGTATGCTGATTGCAAGTGAAATGGCTGTGACTGTGTCTGACTAGGGTGAGGAAGCCTTCATAGCTGCAGTTAAGTTATGACATACCAAAGTCCCCACAAAATAACT